CTCAATATCAATTCAGAATTGCAATCATAGATTTTGAAAAAATACATGAACCAACTCGTTTTCCAACAACATCTATTTGTTGGAAGAAATAGTGGCATTAGGTAATGTATATCGTAAGATATACATACCGTAATAGATCGATAGACATCCTCAAATAACTATAAAATTATATTTTAGGGTAAGTTCTAGTCCCAATTCAAGTTGACAACTGATATTTTCGGAATCGGCGGGGTCGAATTAGTCTAGAAACTTGGGTTGTCACGAATTAATAAGTATGTTTTACTTCGTAGAAGTCGAATTTGGATTATCGCAACCAGATAGAATATTTTTCAGTAGGCTTAGAAAACAAAATCATGATATCAATAAATGTGTCTGTCATCCAGCAACTTTCGGGTTGTCAGTATCTTAAAATATCATATCAGCGTATATCTTTATTCTGAGTGTTTTTTAAGTCGTTTTCAGTAATTGTTTAGTGAATTTAGTGCGCATTATGGCATTTGCAAATAGGGTAAGATGTTATGTATGCGAAGGGAATTTCATTCCTAGACTCACAATTCGTATAAATCGTGAAGATAATGTTGATTTTCTGCAAATTGCAACATTTAGAAGACAAGCTGCTGGAAATCCTCCAATTGACATTTTTGATGATACCAGAGTTTGTTTCAATTGTCATAACAGTGTAATAATTGATATCAATGAGATGGAAAATAACCCAAACTGTCTTCGCCTAAATGTATTGAGTCCAGTAATGAGCCGTGCCTGCATAATCTGTAATGCTCGTCAACATGTTCAGAGAATAACTCTTGCATGTAGGGTGAACATTTTTGTTGTAACGAATATTTATGTTCCGGACTTTCTGAGAATTTGTGGTCATCATCTTGACCCTCATGGATTTCTCTTGAATAATTTGCATGGAGGTTTGAATTTTATCAACAAACCCTATTTGATATCAAATATGCTTCAATTTCTACAGTGTATGAGAACAGTTGCCAATGAAAATAGACGTATTAGAAACTGGGATGATATTGATAGTTTTACAGAAGAAGAGTTCAAAGCTCTGACGTCGATTTCAAAAGAAGATTTTCAAGAACTTTATGGATTTTGTGATACAATCGAGCAAGGGGGAAATAGAAGGCATATCAAAAAGAAACATTTACTGACATTTCTAATCAAAATGAAACATGGAGTTTCAGATGAGTTTTTGAAAATCTTGTTTCATTTTTCTTCAAGACAAACAACTAGCTTGATAATATCGAATGTGAGGATATCTCTAATGCAAAGATTTGTAACTAATAATATTGGTTTCGACTCTATTACAAGAGACGATTATATTAATAGACACGTGTCTGTATACACCAATCAGCTATACAACCCTTCTCCCAATATCCCAAAAGCAATTGTGTATATAGACTGTACATATAACAAAATAGAAAAAAGTAGTAATTTCCGGATATTGAGACAATCCTACTGCTTCCATAAAAATGAGCACCTGGTTAAGCCTGAAATTATGGTTGCTCCTGATGGCTACATCTTGGCAATTAATGGTCCATACTTTTCTGATGCTAGAAATAATGATGCCACCATTCTGCAGCATGAGCTACAGAATGATATAAATAGAATGAGGACATGGTTTCAAGAAGGCGATGTAGTGATAGTCGATAGGGGTTATAGGGACTCTATTGGTCTTTTACAGGATCTTGGTCTCCATTACCATATGCCACCATTTCTACCACCAAACCAAAGACAACTCACAACAATCGAAACTAATAGGGCACGCTTAATTACTAGCACCAGATGGATTGTAGAGGCTAGAAATGGGCATTTCAAATCGATTTTCAAATTTTTCCGAGGAGCGATATCAATAACACATGTTGCAAAATTACGCGAATTCTATTTGATTGCTGGCGCCCTAATAAACAAATACCATCCTCCAATAAGGATGCCGGGCACATTGGAATTAGCTACACAAATGTTGCATGATATCGAAGAAGTCAACATTGTTCAGGCCCGAGTTGAGGCTGAAAACCTCCGTACAAGAAATGGTCGATGGTTTCGTTTGAACCATAGACATGTACCGACGTTTCCTCGACTTGACTTAGAATATTTGAAAACACTCACAGGGTCATATCACATTCACTTAGCTGCCTCCTACATACAAGACACGATACAAAGAGATGGAGGGGAACAAAATACACTCGATATTGACGAACTCATTGAGGAACCCAATTTTTTAAGATTTCGAGTATTTTCTCGGTTCAGAAATGCCACTAAACATATGCTGTGGTTAGTATTCAGAGAAATCGATGATAATAATTTACAAGATCCGCCCATTTTAGGGTACTACTGTACTTGTAGGTCCGGTGCTAGAACATTAGGGACGTGTGCACACGTAGCCAGTGTGGTATGGTTCCTTGGATACGCAAGAAACCAAGGAAATATTACCTTTCCATCTGATCGCCTTTTGAATTGTATCGACGATGCTGCAAATCGATTGAATCCTGAAAATATGAACATCGGTCCGGAACTGATTTGAATCTGGCGATTAGTTGATTTCTGTGTTCCTTGTGAAACATAATTATAGTAGTAGTAGTAGTATATGTCCTTCGTTGGTAGGTATGTACATACCAACCAACCATCGATCCCTAATGAGGTCCTTTAGCCCATAGTGTTCTGAACATGTATCTATATTGTATGTAGGCACGCAACAGTGAATCGTGCAGGACTATCCCCAGCCGATGCTCCGAAACTTCACAATATTTAATTCGTATATTAATATTCGAAAAATTCCTTGCGCTGTCTGGGAATCGAACCCACGACCCCGCAGTCCTGACTCGGGTGCTCGTCCACTGCGCCAATCCTGCCTACACACAATCATATTATAGGTATTGGAACTTTCACTTCCTAACGTGGACTAGGCCTACAGGGGATACCACAATAAAAAAAACGCGCCTGAAACTCTACCTCTCAGGTGGTGGGGAAACGAGTTGGTTTGTCTATTTTTTCAAAATCTGTGATTGAAATTCTTAATTGACATTTTTCTTTCAGGCCTATACTGAACCCGGTAACGAATATCTACATAACCAAAACTCCAACTTTAGTGTCTTTGCGATGTGCATATACTAACTTCGATTCTAACAATATACAGTATGGTCAAAAGATTGGAAGTTGGTTGGATATAGGAGAGTTGCAAAATATATTAACGCGCACCTCTTACTAGGCGTTTGCGGAAGTTTAGTTTCATACTTTTTTCGAAAAGTAGTCATAGGATTGAGTTGGGAAAAACCGCTGTCGACTTCGAACGCTCATGAGTTTTAGCACGTTTATGAGTGGGATCGTTGATGAGTTGAAAGTTGATGAAAGGGGTGCGTAGAATAGTTGTGTCGTTGATGAGATTTTTTCGGGGGCATATTGTGATTTGTTTGATGTTTTCTGAAAAACATTTTCGAGATGTTTTGCTAGCGGACCTATAATAAGACCACTAGATTTTGTTTACGAACAAATCACATTTTTTGACATAGTTGACTAGTGACTACTAGTTTTGCGATTCGGAGCAATTTTTCGTGTTATTATGTAATTACTTTTCCATAATTATTTTCACATTATTCGATGTATAAAAAAAACTAGTCATAGCATGGGTCTGAAAATTCCCAATTTGATTGAAATATCCATACTGAGTATATTGGTGGAAAAAAATCTTACATCGACGGTAATAATTTCGAATTAGAGGGTGATGAAAAAAATAGTGGTTTTTGAATATTTTTTCGTGGTTGTCAATTTTTTCAATCGATGAATCACTCTGTATATCATGGAACTCATTGGGATACATCCTTCAAAAATATTTTGAATGTCTGGAATCAACCCGATAATACGAGGTGGCCCAATGAACTTTAGGATAGACCAATTATGCAATCAACAGCATTAATGAAACACCATGTATAATTATTATATTTTACGAATTCAATTGATGTAAGAAGAGCATACTTGGCTATAAATCTCATTTTGTAATTGTTATCAATTTGTAGCATTGATATTCAGATATTCAAAAAAACACATTATTTGAAATGAGAATCACCCTGTAATAAAAATCAGTTTTGGTCGAATACCTATATAGTTCTTGCGCCTAAGGGCATAACTATTACGTGCTCCCGAAAAATTGGAATTCATTTGTCCTATCTTAGAGATATAGGCCGAGAAAAATTAGGTATTCTTCAACTTCAACACCCTGTATCTCGTAAACTAGTCATAGGATTGAGTTGGGACTTGGCATATTCAATCAGTATGTCGAGTACTATCATTTACCAAAAATTGGGGAAATTCGACGGAACGCCATTTTTATATAGAAAAAGTGCGGGGTCCTTTTCGCGATTTTATCGATTCCCATCGATTCTACAACCAAAATACACCAATTCAAATGGAAAGATAAGATAATTTTACTCAAAAAATGATACAATCAATCATGAATATAATTTTTGGAATGCTGATGCATTAGCGGAAAGTTACTACAGTGACCAAACTCGATTGAGTCACTATACAGAGTGTCTCACCTCTGATGGATACGACCTTGTATACTCTCTAATTATTATAGACGTACAATTTTGTAATTTGCAGAAGGGAGAGAACTACTTAAGATAAACTCAATGGCCAAATTGGATTATCGTTAGTGATATACACTGCTCCTACCTCAGGGACCTTTGAAACATTATTCAGGACATAAATATATACCTGGAACCACAAATTATACCTCACGATAATATTATTCCTCATCAAGACAACATATTTTCACTAATATCAGTAGAATAGTTTAACCTAGTCACGAGTTGTTAGCTAGATAATTCCACACAACTTTATTTTGCCAATCTTGCATCTCAGTAGTTGAAAAAAATGAAGTCAATCAACTGTTCTCTTTGAGACATCATTTTTGTGAGGAATTTGCTAATAACTCAAGAAATGATAAAAAAATTTCAAGAAATCGAACAGCTGTTTATATCGAAAATGCTTACCTCTGCAGGGGTCATTTTTGACTAGGAACTCGTCTAGAGCTACCCAGCCTCCGCCGACACGTACCATAACAGTACTGCGAAGGATACGAACAAGTCGGAGTTTTTGACTTTCTCCAAACTGGAAATATGGCACAAAAAATAATCAATTTCAATGCAACGATACTTGAGATGAAGCCCAGGAGATACACCGAGTCGCAAAATCAAACAATGCATCGCTTTCCTCATTACTAGATAATAATAATAATTAATAATAATAATTATGATAATCATTATCATTTCTATCTAATACACCTTCATTACGAAGTCTGGAGGAAGAGAAGGGCGGAGAAAATTTATATGTACCAGGTGTCCCGCCAGAACAACGAACTTTTTTCCAGCAAAAAATTAATTTGAAGATGCCCAACAACCATATTGTTTTTGTATTTTGTAAAATTGTTCTATCCGTCATTCGGTTGCCCCCTTACGAGCAACCCTCAGAAGTCTTAGAGCAAGGAATGACGGGGGCCTTACCTTTTAACGTGTGATCCCAAACACTTTCTTGGGCCACCAGAAAAATTTCTGCAGTCTATGGGGATTGAACCCACGACCGGCAAGCCAATGCGGATTAGAATACTGACACTCTGTCCGCACGGCTACCTGGCCCATGCTGAAGTAGTTCATGAACATGATTATTGTGGTCAATAACTCAACACAAATGAGGTAGAAACTTGCAAAACATAATAATCCTGACACATCATAAACAAGTACGCAGAAGCACCAGAACTAATTATGTTAGATGTCTCGTGAAACAAGAAAAATTATAAAAAACTGCAGTTAGAATGAAGTTAGATAATTGATTTTGGCATCCATAATATAATTAAAAAAATCTAATAATTGTGAATAGTATATCATGGAATAAATAATTATGCGAATTGAATGAAATGCTCAGTACACTATACAGTATGATGCAAATGTATGGAATAAATTCATTATTTCAGAAATGGGCGATATTTGAAGAAATTCCAAAAATACGTGTTTTAATTTTTGAAACCTCATCTCATGACATTTATATGAGAGATGTTACGTCACCAGTGTTGGAGTAATGACGTAATGGACGGTTTTTTTAAATACAAACAGGGGTCATGTGACACCTCGTTTGAAAGGTCTACTGATCGTCTATCCAATAGTCAAAATTTTGCAAAAGGAGATTGAAATTAAAATGGATTATCATTTGGTTAACTGAATCTTGCAGAGATCTTCTACTGAGAATTGAACATCGAAGGGTCGTCTAGTTGAAAAAATACAACGATAAAAAAGTTCTGAACTCTACTTTTTGGATTTTTTTCGGAAGTCGTCTTGTTTTGAAATGAATTTATTCCAAACATTTGCATCATACTGTATATGAATTAAATACATGTCTCATTTCTTAATGAGACAATGTTTCCCTGGTGATAATTTAAAATTGCTAAATATGTATTGACCTATGACATTTGTTTTTTTATCCTCACTACAAGGTTCACTTCGTAATATTTGTATGTTCCAATGTATATTTTGTAAACGTTTTGAAATAAACTTATATCATTATTATTATTATTATTATTGAAATATCAAAATGTGGTCAGTGGCATACTCCAAAAAAGTTAATTCGATGTTCATCAAAGAGAATGTGAAATAACTCCCTGTATATTGATTAAATTAATCCGACATGTTGTTCATGCAAATTCACAATAATAACTTGCCCTACGAATTTTAGAGCAGTACCCTTCAAAGATTTTGAAATATTCAAGAAAATCTGGAAATAAAATAATTCCCCAACGCCCTCTCACGGCTTAATGGTGCATTTTCGTATAAAGGTGAGTTGACTTCCATCGGCCTATTTTGGTCCTTTAGAATTCATGGTTCGTTGCTATAGGACACCCTGTGTAAAGATCAGATAACTACATTTGGCATGTGTGAAATACGAATTTTCCGCTAAAACAAGAGCCCACTCGGCTTCCGACTCGGCGTATCTCTAACACCTTCCACCTATCCAAAACCACCCTTCTGCCACTCACCCTGTACTTGCCCTCGCCAACCTGGAACACCCTGAACTTCTGCCGGCACGTGCACAGCATCACCAGCCGCTTCACCTCGTCGTGGATCTTCTGCGCATCGTTGTCGGGCGCCTTCTCCTCCCAGTCGGGCCTCAAAGCCGCGATGAACTTCTTCCAGTCGATCAAGCCACGATTGTGCTCGTCGAACATGTCGGCAACGTGTTTCATCTCCAACCGCGAAGTGTCGAATTCTGCCGAGGAAAAAATCATATTAGTCTGAATAATAATTGATTGAGAGCAATCCTGAACGCCAAACACGGATGCATGAATGAAATCGCGAATGGTGGGGATAATAAGAGACACTTTTAGATTTGCTGGTGAGTTTTCAGACTAGATAACTATAGATAGATATCAAGGTTCATTCATAAATCATTATTGAGTTTACACCAAAAATCCTTTATGCCAAACGCGGATAAATGATGGATATTGTGCTCATCGAACATGTCTGCCATGTCTTTCCATCTCCAACAGAGAAGTGTCGAATTCTAAGGAGAGAAAAGAGAGATCGTTCGGTGTTCAGACTGAATAACAAGATAAAGACAACAATCCTAAACGCCGAATACAGATAACTGAATGAAATCGCTAATGGTGAGGATAATAACAGAGACTTGTATATTTGATCTTTGGCACGTCGTTGTAGGGCGGTCACATGATCCATCTCCAGCCGCGAAGTGTCGAATTCTGCGAAGAGAAAAGTGAGATCGTTCGGTGCTCAGACTGAATAACAATAGACAGACAACAATCCTAAACGCTGATAGGGATGGATGGATGAAATCGTCAATGGGGGGGATTACAGACACTTTTTGATTTGCGAGTGAGTGAGTTTATTATTTATATTTTGATTTCTTATGTTAAAGTTATGTATTTCATTGAGGTTCAAGAAAATTATAATTGTTTTTTGTTTGTGATTCACTATTTTGTATGTGTGTTTACATTGCTCTGGAGTTAAGATTTCATTCAGGTTGTTTAATTTTGTTGTTTCGTATACAGTATTCGTTGGTGTTAAGTGGTTGGAAGAAAATAATATTTTGATAACCTTGCTTTGCAGTCTTTGCATTTCTTGAAATGTCGTTTTATTACATGTCCCCCATATCAACGTCAGATACCTGAAGATCGACAAAAAGTATGAGTTGTAGATCATGTATTTCACTTCAGTGCTCAGATATTCCCTGCATCTAAATAGTGCTCCAACCATGGGTGACATTTTTTTGGTTATGTGATCAATGTGGTGCTTCCAGCTCAAATTTTCATCAAATATGAGACCTAAATATTTGAGATTGTTAACCTTTTCAACCAGTTCTTCGCCTATTTTTATTTCAACGCCACCAATGCTCAAATTTTTTGTTTGAAAATGAAAAATTTTGTTTTCTTCATATTGAGTTTCAGTTTGTTATGTGAGTTCCAGTTTTTATATCTTTTCATATTTTCGATCACAAGGTTTTTGAGTTCTTCTATATTTGTGCCAGTATATGTCAAGACCGTGTCGTCAGCAAATGTAAAGTAGCAAGTATATAATTGCGCATATTTTAGACTGAGCACGAGTGAAGAATAAAAGAGCGGACCCAAGACGGAACCTTGAGGCACGCCATTTTTTTGCTTGCATTATTGCATGTAAACATACTGTCGTCAAGTTACATATCTGACCCCTCAATCCCATCTTCTCTATTTTCTGCAACAATGTGTCATGATCAACAACATCAAAGGCTTTAAGGTCGATAAACACTGCTATCACAACTTTTTTGTCCATATTTGAGGAAATCAACTTGTAGATACTGCACTGGGTACAAAGAGGACAACTAGGTAATATACAATGGGCCACTAGGCATCGGTTAGACGAGCCTACAAACGGGATGAAATGTTTATAGTGGTTATACCCTATCATAACAACAATAAAAACTCACTGGTCTTGATGATTCCCTCGATGAAATCGTCCCTGGGTATCAGCTCGTTGTTGTCCTTGTCCATCTTGCGGAACAGGTCGGTCAACCTGGACTTCTTGTAGTTCATGAACTTGAGGAAGCGTTTGCGCCAGTCGTCCCACGAGAAGTTGTCGGCCTTCTCCTTCTCCTTCAAGTAGGCGAGATGGTCGTGAAGTTCGCGTTGCCGCTCCCAAGAGAGCATCCACACGTGGCGCCACTTGTCGTAGAGGAACTTGACGCGTGGCGTTCGGAACTCCGGTTCGCTGTTAGACAAAGTCAGAGGGTTGGCGTGAAGTGAAAGAAAAGCATTGTCGTTCTGAATGCGAAACCTAGTTCTAGTTGGCGAGGTATGATATGGTCTGTTCACTGACCCGCGTAATCTCAGACAAATTACAATATTCATTTGATGATTTGGGGTTTCAACGTATGTAAGAGGAGTTTAATTTAGAATAGAATAGGATTTTTATTCGCCACTGTGGTATATTATGTACATATGGTATGTCAATTTGAAATAAAAAATGAATAAAAATATGAGAATATGAATATAAAAATATCTGGATGATCAATATTACATAGTAGTACAACTAGTAGAGGTATACACATAATAAATAAAAAACACACCATATATTTACAAATAACATAATGGAATAGACAATACATATATTTGGGTTCTATATTTTTCCAACAATGTTCAATTTAGAGCAAAAAGATTTCTTGCTTCTATTTCAAATTGAAATTTGAATGAAAATGTTGAGCACAGTATTTATCCGACCACAGAACCAAGGTTTTGAACGATTTTCCGATTATGGCGCCTCTATCGCAAATACCTGAACCCCACAACCAAAACTGTCTTGCAATTGTTCCATATCGAGAGTTAGTCTGACGAAACAATTGAAGAGTGAGCCCACCAGTTGAATTTCTATACATCTCTGTCTCAATCATGCTTGTTCATAATTGAAATGTTTCCAAATGATACATTTTTCTTCACAAACTTGACAGATAGGAAAGCCTCGACTCAAAATATATCGTCGATGAGCACGATTTTCGCATCATTTTTCTTTTAATGAACAGACAATAATATACCTCGTCTACTAGGTTTTCATTCAGAACGTCGATAGGGGAAGCCCCGATCATCTCATGTTATGCTCTTTGAAGAGTGTGGACATACTTGTCATCTTATTGAACAGCTAAACAAAAAACATGAGACACAAATATGTTTTACAAGAGAGGAATGCCATTCAGAACTCATATTTCAAATCTGAAAATGATGACAATTTGGAAATGTCGGTGGTGACAAGCGTGTCCACAGTCTTTGAGGGGCAAAAAATGATATATTCGAGGCACTCTCAAGTCAGAATTTCAATCGAGATGATTCTTCAGATTGTGTCCACGTGTCCATCAAAGGTTATTGCATTTCTTAAAATTTTGAATTTCGAAACATCAAATGTCAAACGCGAAGATATCACAATAGCATACTGGGCGTTACCAAACAGCGCGATTAGGTGGACATATATTCAAGTACCTAGCTTATCATCGGTCGTCAGTAGTGTCAAAAGTATCAGCCAGTTGTATCTTGAAGATATAAAAATTCTCATCATGTTCATCATTTTCAGATGTTACCAACTTACGAATCATCTCATTTGAAGTTCAGACCATCCTGTAGATGAAAGTGATATGTTCAAATATCTACAAATTGTTTAATGGGTATCAGAAATAGGAAGGAGTTGAGTTGTAGAGGTGAATACATCAATAGATGAATCTTCTGATGAAACACAAAAATTAGTCACAAATTTCATGCAGTGTATTGAAAAATGAGAAAACTTACTTACACCATGAACGTTAGATATGCAGTAATGAATTGGGGAAATCGTGGATATATGTACTCACATTTACTTTTTAGAGTTAGTATCATTAGCTTGAAATCAAATTCTGACTGGCCTCATGAAAAAAAAAGGGCCACAGGACACTTTCAAAGGTGGAACTCGTGTAAGACAGAAGCATTGGACCATTCCACATTAGGTGAAGATGGCTCTGGATGTAGCATCCCCAGAAACAAGTTAATGATAATTATATCAGTGAAGTTGTTCAATTGTTGCAATCTTTCGATATTTTCTTGACAGTTGTCTAATAGATATTTGTTTAACTAGACAGAAACGCTGGCGTAGCTGGCGTTTCATAGCCAAGGCGAAGCCGAGGCTAGGAAACTATTTCTGCATAGGCAGAAAAACTTGTCTGTCAAGTGTCATTCAAAAGACACTTTCAATGTAATTTGGAGAAAATTGTAATTTTTTTTTCACTAGGCAGAAAAACACAAGATTTAATGCCGCGTCTGGCATTTCATAGCCAGCTAGGAGACCAGCCAAGGTATTGAATATGCTTTTCTGCCATGTAAAACATGTAAAACATTCTTCGTTCAATCAATCAGTCTTCGTTTCAATCCCACTCAAACTTCAAATAATCCATCATTTTGTGGTCACTCCAAGTTATTGTCAATTTTGATTACCAATTTGATTCAAATTTTTACTTGGAATGGTCCCTAGCAATAAACTTTTTCTTTCTAGACAGAGAAAGTACACCATTTCTGCCTTTTAAGAGTCATTAAAAAGACACTTCTAATGTCATTTGGAGAAAAATAATTTTGTGTGCGACACCTGACCACGGTGTTTTTTTTACTCACTTCTTACGTAAGTAACTCTAAGTGCTATTCATTAATCGAATTGTCTTGCATCAGCTAACAATCCATGTAACACTAAGTTCTAAGTATACCAACACTTCGCGGTCTCCAAGGTCATCAGATGACGTTTTATTACATTAAAAACTATGAAGAAACATGTCTAACTTTCAATATGACAGCGAATACCATTAGTAAACCTGATAGTGCACTGGTTTTGCATCAGTTTTGCACCCGCACCACGGTAGTTCTCTCCAAAATGTGAACTGGTGCAATATTTTTTCTTACCTTCAATTAAAAACACAGAAGATGTCTCATGAAAACAATTTTGAGCACATATTCCAATAAGTACCTCTTCATCATTGCATTTGCAAAATACTTTTAACAAAATTATGAATTCTGGGGAGTACTCTCCTTCATTTTCTTGAAAACTTCAACATTTCATCACTCTTTGATGATGATGATTAGATTTCCACTAACAATTTGGTTTTCAAACTATTCATAATCAATGTTTCCGCCATTTTCAAAACTGCACTGACTTCGTACGACCTATTAGAGTACGTGCGAGAATTTTTGAACTGATCTCTAAACTATGTGAACCAGTCTTCCAATGGAATTCAAAACCCGATACCAGTTTTACCAATGAAATACAAAATATGCAATCACTGCCAGCCAGTTTTAACAAAGGAATTTGCTTCAAGCCAGGAGTTGGTCAATTCATTTAAAATTACATTAAACTGAATATAAATTGAATATAAGTTATTTCTATGAACCGACCATGATATTTCAACTATTACGATAAATATAAATTAAATGTAAATTGAATATTGATAATTTCTATGAATTGACCACAAGTCTCACATGTAAGCGTTCATAGAATCTCACTTATTGCTTTCATTCAATTTATATTTAGTTTAGTACTGAATAGCCAACTTTTCATTGCAATAAATTAAATTGAACTGAGCATGCGCCCAATGTGATCCGCTGTTACCAACATTGAATAAAAATTAAAAAAAAAAACATTGAAAATAAGATATGCATTGAGCATTAGCGTCAGTTGTAACAATATATTAATCTGAAAATGACCATTTATTCATGTTTCTGCGAATGCGTAAGTATGAACGACAAGAACTAGCTTACGATATAATTGAATTAAACTGAATATAAATTGAATATAAGTTATTTCTGTGAACCGACCATAAGGAATGTTCTCCCTTTGTTTTCATGTCATTGCTTCATGTCAGATGATGACCTTGACAATTGCGACTTGACAATTGATTATGAGATTTTCAGGAGTTGCACCTTTGATTTCAAGCGATGACGGTGTACATGGGGACGTGTGCGAGTAGAAACGAGCAAAAATGTGGTTGTTAATCCCATAAAGTGAGTGAAAATGTACCTTCCGGATGGTGGGAATCTGGGTCCGATGTGGGGTAATTGCGGATCCGGACTGTATTCTCGTCCTGGGCTGACACGGCTGTCAAAATAAAAGCAACATGCAACACTCGACACAGGTCTACACAATAAAAATCATAGGAAAATTCGTTCGGCCACCGAATTTACAGGGTGATTAACTATGAATGAGCAATATCTGAGCTACAGACAGTGAACACTAAAATATAGATTTAGCCTAAAATGACTAGCAAAAATGTTGCTGGTTAGATACAGGAAATTCAAGGGGAATATTTTATTTTGAAATGTCTCAATTACTTTGTAAGTTTTATCGAAATTAATACGAAATTTTGTAATTTCAGGATTACGAATTTGTAACTTATTTTCTAATTGATCATAGGGGACGCTGGTTGCACTATGTTAGTTTGGTAAATTACATCATACAGTGGTAACACCCCTGTATCTTACGTAATCGTTGGAAAAGGATCCAGAAAGGACCCCGCACTAAACTATGGGGAAAATGGCTCTCGATGAAAATCGCTGAATTTTTGGTATGTTGCAGACTTTGATATACTGAAGAGATATTCCAGACCTCCAAATGTCATTTTTTTGAGAGAATGAAAGTATCTGAAAATGGTTGAATTTTTGGCATGTTGTAGATAGGAATGAACTGATGAAAAAATCCAATTGACCTAACCTCCAAAAATTGACAGTTTTCTCGATATTGACCTCCAAATAGAATTTTTTCAAGTAAAAAAATCTCTGAAAATGGCTGGATTTCTGGTATGTTGTAGATAGGAATGTACTGCGATGGAAGAATCCAATTGACCTAACCTCAAAAAAAGACAGTTTTTCGATATTGACCTCAAAGTGTACGTATGGAAAATAAGATGAATGGAACAATAATCAATAGACAAAGTTGCTGTTTTCGAATTAGTATTTGGCGTTTCATTCTTCTGAAAACAAATCTTCTTCATATGATACATCCACAGGTGAAGAAAACCGAAGAGAGGATGTAATGAACTGAATATTATTTAAAAGATGGTAATATAGTCTTTCCGAAATCAATGGTTAGGTATAAACACTAGTCGAATTTATGCCATATATCTATTTTATTTTGATCATTCCATCTATTATGAAAGTATTCGATGCACTCATTCATTCATAATCACCTCTCAGCAACACTATATAGCCGGCGATGACGTGACATTGACATACCGATACCGATAAACACTAAGATTTTTATTGCTCAACAACCAATGAGAATATTTCCAAATTCTTCATAGAATTGAGGATTTATTTCCACAGTAGGAGTGGAGTGTTGTGTACTGACGTATACACAATACATAAATCGTATCGTATATAGTATAATTCCAATAGATTGATCGCGGTATATGACGTCATCACGCGTTGTACCACAATTCTCATGTTATTAAATATCATGAATTTCAATAAATATTTACAATATGTACGAGATTTGAAGAGAAAACGGTTTGCGACAGTGAACAAAACCTTTCATTTTTTTGAGGTTAGTTCATTTGAATTTTTTCATCAGTTCATTCCTATCTACAACATATCAGAAATTCAGCGAGTTTCAGAGATTTTTTTCTTGAAAAAATTGCATTTGGAGGTCAATATCGAGAAAACTGTCAATTTTTTGAGGTTAGGTCAATAGGATTTTTCCATCAGTTCATTCCTATCTACAACATGCCAAAAATGCAACCATTTTCAGATCCTTTTTTTTTCGAAAAACTGACATTTGGAGGTCAATATCGGAAAAACTGTCCATTTTTTGAGGTTAGTTCAATGGAAGATCTGTTCAGTAAATCAAAGTCTGGAACATACCAAAAATTCAGCGATTTTCATCGAGAGCCATTTTCCCTATTGTTTAGTGCGGGGTCCTTTGCTGGAGCGAGAGTTATTTCAAAAATGCAATATATGACGAAGTGAGGTGATCTTCAGTGATATACACTGCTCGCCAACAGCCATGGAACCACCCCATGATATTAGGAGTCAAAATAGGTTGAAAATCACTTCGGATTCGAAATCAGGACGCCCAATTCACTAACTATTCATAGTTTTCCTAGAAAATTTTCAGTTCAGAAAAATTTAATTTTGTGTCAATTCTCTAAGAAGCAGGGGTAGTAAGTAATTATTGAGGTAGGGTTCTGAAGTTTGCAGGAGGAAGGGGAAATCCAAAGATAGAGTCAATTACATAAGATACGGGGGTATTACCGTAAAAAGTGCGACAAAATTTAATTTTTCAAAACTGAAAATCTTCCAGGAAAAATATGAATAGTCAGTGAATTGGGCGGCCTGATTCCGAATCTGAAGTGATTCTCGACATATTTTGACTCCTACTATCATTTTCCGGAAATTGAAGTGGCTGTTGGCGACATATCACTGAAGATTACCCCACTTGATCATAGAGTGCATTTTTGGTATATCTCTCACTCCAGCAAATTTCAGGATCCTTACCCAACGATTACGTAAAATACAGGGGTGTTCCCATTAGAAGTTGGTCTCACTGTATATTTTTTGTCCATTGAATGATGAATAAAATAAGTGAAACATTTGGAAGCCTAGCCAATTTTGGATGAAAAATTGACTCTTTTTCAAATAGTCTAGCTCTGAAACGTTTTTCGCGTTATTCGTTCTTGAAGAGGTTTTTGTTTCACATTCGTATTATTTCAAATTTTAAAGTTAGGAAAGTGACAGTGGACAGGCAGTTAGCAATAATGACAATCTCTAACAACGCCAAAAGTCAAACAGAATTTTAAAGTTGTTTGACCTAAGGTATGGGGAGATTTAAAATAAAATTTGTCCTTCAATCTGCAACATTTTTATGGGGCATGTTGGGCTAAATCTTCATATTTTGGTGTTTACCATCTATCTGTAGTTCAGAGATTGCCCATTCTTAATGAATCACCCGTATTTGTTCAATTTCTTTTGAACAATCATTCGGTGCGAACTAACTTTGAAATAAAAACAAAAGACATATATGTTTTTAGTTTGAAGGGTCTAGTCTAGATGTCATGCCATGCAAGGTAGAAAATTACAACATTTGTTTGATTGATAATAAAAAGGAGAGTTCCTAAATATATTATTCATCAAAATACATTCTTTTACACCCTCATAATGAAATAAGACTTGAAATACCAGTAAATGTACAGTGCATCCCATTTTGGTAGAGACTGACAGGTTTCTCGGTTGTTATGAAGATAGAACCTTGCGGTTTTCATGTTCCTATCCTACTTTTTTGTGAATCTAAAGATGGAGTGACCAGATCTCACATAATTGTTTCCGTTTATGAGATACAGGGTGATTTTGATAGTTCCTTCTTTTTGGAAGTTATTAAAATGTTGCGCTAAGAACTACATCTAACAGATTCCATGGCGTACTCATACTTTTTTCAAGCTATAGTTCTGGATATATGACACAAACTTGAATATTTTTGAGGAAGAATATTCTCAGATGAAATTATAAACATGAAAAAATGGATATATGTATAAAGAAATACATTGAGAATTCGCATTCTCTATTTGAAGAAAATATCAATTCTTTCTCGGTGTATTCAACAGAAAACTTTCCTGGCTATATGCTACGACGAACAATGAATTATATCGATAAAAATTTGAAAACAAAATCTTCTGTAGTTGAGAATTAGAATTGAATTAAATATTTTTAATGGAATACCCTGTATTTTATTTTGTCTCGTTTGAATTCGTAATTTTTTTCTTAGTTCGAAATGATGTATAATACTATATACATAGGTTTTCAGAAATTCTGAAAAAGCACTAGAACCTCAAATCATGATGAATTTTTGCTAGTGGGACATGAATTTGCCAAGGTTTGAAGGATTATTATGTGGGATTAATTATACTTTATATTGATTAAATAGGTACTTCTTTTATTTCTTATATCTATCATGAACTTTGTATTAAAGCCATATGTATAAAGTATTATACGTTATTCTGAAGGAAAAAAAGAATTCAACGAGAACCATACAAATTTGTGAGTACACCATTGCGTTCTGCTCAAAATTCCCTGCTAGACGTTATTCTTAGCGCAACAGCATTTCTTATAACTTCGTAGATACAAAGGGGACCAAAAAGTATGAATTTTCAAAATCGCCCTGTATCTCATAAACGGGAACAGTTATGCAGTATCTGATTAGGCAATATTTAGTTTCATAAAAAAGTAGGATTGCAACGTGATACCTGCAAGGTTCTATCTTCAATAACAACCGAGAAACCTAGCAGCTCAACCAAAATGGTATGATACTGTACATGGGTAGGAGACCCAGGTGATAGGTCTTGTAACTTGTTAGTTCATAGAATAATCTAATACGAGTGACATAATGTTCAAGCGGAATATGATATATCTCTCAAGTTTATTACACAAAATTTCTTTAGATATTCCAGTTATAATATATGCTTATATAATAACATTCGTGCAAATTGAAATATTGAAGTAGATAATTATTAATAAGGAAATAAGATGGTAGTAGTGCAGCTATATATGTGTTCATGATTCACAGGGTTGTCCCCGAGGTGAAGCATTCAGTCCTACATAAAATTGGCAAAATGTGGAAATCAAAGAAGGCACATGAAAGTATATAATTCATTTCACATGATTATTTGGGATTTGCTCTCCTCGTTTCTATAAAATAAAAATATGAGTACCTACTATTTCAATATATGTAGTTGGACAAATCAGATAATTTGCCCCAAAATGTCAAAGCCTCAAAGAAAAATCCAATAGCTTGCCAGTGACACTTTGGAAAAATGTTTGAAAAAAATATATAGATATATTGAAAAAATATCGAATTTTTACTTATCTTTGGACGTTCGGGAACAAATATGCTCCCGTTCTCAACATGAAAATGCAAAAATATGAACATGAAAATGATAGATTCAAGATCAATTAATGAAAACATCCTGTAAACTCATTTGTGTACTAACATCGCTCATTCATATGCCAACATTAGTAAGTCACTGAGAAGAAGTGTCAAACTTTCAAAGAAAAATATTTTTGCATTTTCAAGTTGAGAACGGGCAGATTCGTTCTCGAAACTTCCAAAGG